AGCAGGACCATTGTGTTGTCTGGGACATTGTCGTGGCTGGTAACTAGAAATGGCTATTATGCTTAATAGTCACAAGGGAAAAAAAACACTTAACATGGTTTTATCATTTTTGTAATAAGAATCATGCTACACAAAGCATCGTCAAATCTGTACAAGATGTTCAATATTTCACCTGTTTTAGTCCTGAGCAGAAGGAACATCAGCCATCCCTTTTACAAACAACTGCTACAGCCTCGGGCTAGTGCTCTGTTTCAGCCCTTGGAAGATATATATAGCATTCTTTTGGAAGAGAAACTTTTTCTAATCTTTGGTGATCCATCTACGGCCTCTGATCTCAAATGCGCCATAAGCCTGATCGCTACTGCTCTCTCCTCCGCTCTCTGCGCTTGTGTATCCTGATTTTCGCTGGTGCTTTTTGGCTTTTGTTACTCCACTGTCACTAAAGCTCCCATTTAGAAGTGGATCATCAATCCCACGGATCACTCTGCGACCAGATGATGTGGAGACACAACTATCGTCCTTAATTCTTCTCTTGTCCTTATCCTGCTTCTTTATGTTCTGAGAGATTTTGTGCAATTTCTCGTTGAACTTTGTGATGCTCTTTTCCACGGGCTCCACGGCTTGAGTTACAGTGAATTTCACATCTTTCACAATCTAAAGCATAAAATCACCTTGTCATCAAAAGTTCACCAACATAAATCTCTACAGAACACAAATTTTGATAAAACAAAAAAAGAGTTTGAAGACTCACGTATTCACCTCCACCGACGAAAACATCTCTCACGCTCTCTTTGATGGTCATACCGCTTCTGGCATCAACATCTGGTTGTGGCAGGCGAAGCTTGGTTGGTCTCTCACTGTCCCTAACCTCATCTGGATCAATAGGACAGTCAACAGATGCATAGTCTCCAAGAACCGCAACATCTCCAGTAAAGCGGTCTCCCATCAGCTCGTATGGTTTGGCAGGAAACACATACAGGTGAACAACAGAAGCAATACCCATCTGTGCTGGATAAACAAAAACTGTTAAAAATTTAATTTATTTCCTCAGGGAGGAACGAAAAGCATAGAACTTGTCGCAGAAAAATGAAAAAGTAAAGTTCAGCCTCGGTACATATAATCAACCAGAGGTCAGAAGTGATGAATTTGGTTCACACGAATGTTGGTAACAGAAGACATCTACCTCTATGCAAATGATGAAGTCTTGCACACTAGACTTCAACTGCAAGCTTTGCGCTATGGAACTTTTGAACAACCCCAAGGAATACAGAAGAGCAATGGCAACACCTTGCCACCAAGTCAGAAACACAATTGACTTGAATGTTAAAAACTTGGCCAACGGCTTTATGTGAGCAAGCTCGTCTTTTGTTGCAGCATAGAACTGAACCAGACAGTACAATGCCCATGACTGACTAAAATTCAGGACAACTGCCATATAAGGGTACCTACATAAAATATAACATGTGAAACAATAAGATGGCTTTTCTTTAACCCTTGTAAAAAAAAGGGGTTTTATTATTCCATAGTTTTAAAACTGCTTGCCAAGGCAGTTAACTTACCCACAACCCCATTTAAACTCTCCTTCACAGTATACACCAAAAGCTTCAAGAATTACAGCCGTGAGAGCAGTCAGTGACTTTATTATCATCTGCCGAAGGAGAGAAATAGTTTATGCTCCTTCTCAAATATGGAGTTGAGGAACAAGAAATAGGATGATACAAAAGGTATGTATGGCCAAACATACATATTGAACAATACCGAACTTGACGACTTGATAAAACCATCGACCTAATTTCCATGGTTTCAAGAGGTAATTCATCGGAAAAGGATGCTTTATTGTTCCTTTATCATCATTGTGATCTAAAAGTGGTGACTTGAAGTTCATACGCCCCTGTCTGTCCATAAATTCAATGGTCCTCTCTTCTCCACCTGAGCAAAGATATTTAAGATGTGCATGGCAAGATAATGGCGTTGTTAAAATAGCAATAAACACTTATAAGCTCTTAACTAGTGTCATTCAGAAAGCAGGGAACCACCAGAGCAAAGGAAATTATATCAGAAAGGCAGCCATTCTGTTCCTAACGGAAAATGAAAAAAAAAAAAAGAAATGTTAAGCTAACTGATGTCACGAGCGCTCAGGTGACCATACCTAAACAGGCGACAAGGTATCTTCCAAAACAGTACATGGCAAAAGATTCATAACAATCTCGTAGTATCCCGCAATCAACGCTAATGGATGGATTCACCAGCGATGCAAACTGTCCAAGGAATTCCAGTCAGGACCATAAGCACAGCGCACAATATGATAGGCTAGGCTACTCGAGGGGCACAAATTAAGAATCCAGCGACAAGTATGATAACGGGTAGGGTACGAGCAAATGTTCTGTGAAGGCTAGACTATTCATAGAACGAGCTGGAGAAAACAAAAGACCAGATTCTGATAGGCTAGGCTACTCACAGACTCTATGGAATAGCAAGGAACCATGAGGATGACTCCGATCAAAAACTTTTGCTCCTGCAGGGAGAAAACATCAGAGGACCAGTAACAGAGTACTATTCCTATTTTAAAAGAGAAAAGAGGGCACAAACCTCAGGATTCTTGTAAGTAGAGAGGTGCTCGAACAGTAGAAATAAGGAAAGGGAAAGGGTGAGAAGTAGGAAAACGCCAGCGATCAAACTTGCCCACACCGGAAGCGAGTAAGTCAATTGGGAAAGGAGATGGTAAGACTTTGATATGCCCATCGCCCTGTGCCAACCCCTCTTCAACTTCAAAAACCATAGATTATCAGCAAAGCAATATCCCGTCACATATTGCAAAAGAAAGTTTTGCCAAAAACACCGTGTAATAGCCCCAAGAGTCTATCTCTCACCTATCAATTTGCTGAAACGAGTTCGACCTGATAAAATATGAAGCGAACCCACTGGAATCTAACGCATCTATCAACAAAGGGACGGGCCTTTCGGATCGAGCTCAGCTGACTGAAAATCCTCTAATCTAATTTTGAACCCAGATGCAAAAGGAAATTGACCCTAGCCAAAAACGATGGGAAAAGGAGGGAGGAGAATACCTGATTACGATCATCGAGGAAAACAACAAGTGGATAGAGGAGATATCGCTCTGGATGGGTGGATGATTGTTTCACCTCTGCATATGGGCCGACGCGTCAAAGCATGAGAGACAAAAAGATGGCTTCCATCGTCGATGGTTGATAAATTGAAAAGCTGATTCAAAATGTTTGCTTTGGGTTGAAGATGACAAAAAAACGAGACCTTATAATATATATAAAAAAAATGATCTTTTTAAAACCTAAACATCTCCTCAAATTTATTTTCAGGCATAACCAAAAAAAAACGCCCTCCTCAATGTATGGTGGCACAAGAGACTTTGTATTAATGTAGATGCAGGGAAACGCTCCAAAAAAAAAAACTCAACACCAAGCCAAAGGAAAAAGGAAAAACTAATCCTCCGCATGTGCACGTGGTGCTGTTTCATAGTCATAAGAACGACATACAGTTCCCATCGCAAAACAAAACCACACGTAGTTCTTCTGCGGAACGTCTCAGTTATTTTCTTTTTTTTTAATAACTACCTTCGTCTGAGGGTGTAAAATGGACGGAACGGGCCGGATTCGGATCGGATTCAATTCGGATCTAAATTTTTCAGATCGGATCGGTCCATCTATTTATTTTTCGGGTCTATCATCGATGGTCCGAAATCCGATCCTACGAGACTTTGGACAGATTCGGACCGAATTTCAAGTTTTTTTATTAAATAAAAATATTTTTTATAATAACAACAATAATAACAATAATAATAACAACAAAATTAAAATAAAATTAAAAAAATTATTCAATTGATCAATTGTCTAAGACTTACATCCGATAAAAATATATTAAAATAAATATAAATTTTTTTATCTGTAAGAATATATTAAAATAAACATAAATTTTTTTATCTACATCGACTACAATTAAAAATTTTTAAATTAAAAAATGACCATATAAACTTTAAAATATACAAATTTATCAAATATTTTTTAATATATATAATATATATTCGGTATAAAAAATATAAAAAAATATTGATATAAAATTTAAAATTAAATTCATAAAACATTATACATATAAATTATACCAAAATCTTATCAAAATAGTCGATAATATATATATATGATTTTAGAAATAAAATAATATATAATTTTAGTATATATATTAATCAAACTCATCAAATATATAAATATATATATAACATAAATAAAAGATTTTTTATGTTATATGAGAATAAAAATCTATTTATTCGATATGTTTCGGACTAAATAGGTGGGTCGGAAAGGTATCGGATCAGATTCGATTTTTTTCGGGTCGAGTCGATCCGTCCATTTATTTATCGGACTATATTATTAGATCCATATCTTTAATTTTTTTTAGGGATCCGACCGGATTTCGGGCTTCCGTATTAATTGAACATTTTTTATCTTAGAATCGAACCCATACTTTGACGTGACTTTTCAGCCACTGTGCCTGCAGAATCAGACGGTGAAGTGTTTGCCAATGTGTATAGCGGTGTTTCTGTGGCGATCTCACCCTCTTTACCCTTTGCTTCTGTTTCTCAACAGAGATGAGTATCACAACAGGTAAGGAACCCGACTTCTTCTGTGAATTTCATTCCTTTTTTGGCTGAAACTCGTGGGTTCATGGTTGATGGAGGCCGACGGAGCCGCTGAGGCGGTGGGAAGACGGAGAGATGGTGGGAGGAAGAGACGTGGTCGGCGGCGGGACGTGGCTCGGCTGCACGAGGCACGGTCGTATCGCTTTCCTCACCAATTTCAGGGAGGTTTGTTCCAATCCCAATGCGAGAACCCGTGGACATCTCCCACTCCGTTTCTTGCAGGTCCGTACATCTTCTGGAATCAGTAAAGGTTTGCTGGATCTGTATGATCATTTTACGAACGACCGGGATGCTCGATATGAAAGTTCCCAACTTTGTTTTCTTTGACTCGATAGCCATGTTCGTCAATTGTGAGAATTGGAGGGTATTTTCAAGGATCTGGGGAGGTGTGATAGATCGGTCGTTCATTCTTTGTATGAGACTGTAGGTAGGCCTCCAACAAGATGGACATGATCGATGATCCTGATTCCTGCCTTTCCTTTCCATTTTCTTCTTGTAAATGTTTATTGGCATGTCACGCTGTGATCCGTAGTTCTCATCTCAGCCGATCTTTTGGTGCTCGGAACGGCTAGACTTTGTGAATAGTATCCGTGCATACCTTATTTTCAGGAATTGCTGTATGAAGGAGGGGACTTTGTATAGACATACATTTCATTTTGAGGTTATGTGATTATGGCTCGGTAGAGCTGCTTCCGTTCACTGGGTAGTGCTGATGTTCTAGGCAGTGTTAGTAAGAGGAGTTGTTGTTTTTGTGGCAGCAGAGCGGGAAAAGCCCCACGGAGTTTGCTGAGGAGTTGGAGAAAGAGTTTGACCAGTACAACGGCTTCAACCTGGTAGTGGCTGATGTGTGCTCCCAAGTCATGGTTTACATTACCAACAGGCCTCCGTGTGCCAACAGCAGCCTCGTCCGGGAAGTTTCGCCTGGAATCCACGTCCTCTCCAACGCAAATCTCGACTCTCCCTGGCCCAAGGTATTCTCTACGACTCTCTATTGTCTCTCTTTAGAACCTGAGTATTGCGTGAAACGGGGTTCTCAAGTACAGAACCTTCTTTTCACCGTCGTACGGATGAACGGGTTCTTAAGGTATTATTGTCCATGTGAACTGTAATGATCATATAGACGGACTTCTTCCGAGCGAAAAGCATGGAGATAACAAGACATGTAGGTAAAATCCTAGTTCTTGGAAGGGTCCTTAGCACAGAAAGTGTTGCAGATTCATCAAAAATCCATGGCGGTTTTCTCGAGGAAAAGCTTTGGCCTTGGTTTGCAGGATTCAAGATTAGGCTATAAACGTGTGGCGACAGAGCGAACTTGCTCTCATTTTGCCCTTTCGCTCTTGTTGTGTTGCGCAGTGTCTGCGACTCAAAGAGGATTTTATAAAGTTGTTGGCCGGAAGCAAGGGCGGTGAGTTCCCAATGAAGAAGATGACAGAAAAGGTGATGATGAACGGTGACAAGGACGACGAAGAGGCCAAGCTACCCGGCATCTTCCAGCCGGAGATCGAGTTCAATCTCAGCTCCATCTTCATAGACTTCCAACGACCAAATGTAAACATCCTTACTAGATGTTATTTGTATTCAGTCTCCCGGTCCAGGGATTAACAATGGTAGACCGCACAGGGGCGATATGGCACCAGAAGCATCTCGGCCTTGAGCGTCAAGTGCGATGGTGAGGTATGCTTCTACGAGAAGCACCTGGAAGGTGATGCGTGGAAGGGACGCACCGAAGAGTTTACGACGCAAACCCGAAACATTTGATTTGGTGGTGTTGTAGTATTCACTAACAAAAGGAGCTTTTATTTTATCAACAAAGCATACAAAGTGTGAGTCGTGGCTCTAAGCGGCACAGGTCGCGCAGGAGCAAGCATCGCCGCACTTGCAGAAGGCCTTGCCCGTCCCGGAGACTTGGGTCTTGGTGCAGTTGCAGGGGTTGCAGCCGCAGTGCGCCCCGCACGGGCACATCATGTGCCCCTCCTCGCTGCTCTTGCACCTACCCCCACCCGCCAAGACAGTACAAGGAAAATATTGTTGAGGGTTTTATTTATGTCCTAGTTTAACCAGAATTAATGAGAGTTGGAGAGAACCTGCAAGAATCGCCGCCAGGACACGGGGAAGGGCAACCACAGCGGTCGTTGCAGGCGGCGCCTGAGCTTTCTTTTCCGGTATCTGCCATTTCGTTGAACGATTCCCTCCCATGTGAGAGTGTTATACATATATATATTTCTATGCAAGACGGCGGTGTGTTACAAAATCTGCTGGCGGCTCGACAGGTGTTCGACACGTGGCGTCAGGCCATGAAACGTGGCGTGACCTCCTATGATGTGTCAATCGATCACCTCGACTGTTCCCGATGTATTCTCACCGCCTGTATAGGTTCACCAATATCTAAGCGGGCTATGTTATAAATTGTCCAGTCACCACTCTCACTATGATTCAGCATCCCCAAAATGTTTTTTTATTTGTCTTGATTTTGTAAATGATGTGGAAGCAAAGTTTATGAATAAACGTGGAATGAATGTTGGGCATTATCATCCCACCGAGCCCATTGGGCCGTTGGACATGAAGCCCACACCCATTCACCCTCTTGATTTTTGCCTTCGGTCACGTGAGTGCAACACTCCTCATCCTCGTCATCATGCTTCTCTCTGTCATCCATTTATGAATTTTTCTTCTCCTCCCAAGTCAGCTCAGTAATGTTTTCCACATTGGTATGGTGGCCTTCTTATCCTCCCTTTTCCATATATATAATACAATATACATACATGTATCCCCTCTTCAAATAAAATATATTCTTCCCATACTTTGGATATTGTAATATAATCAGGAGCAAACAACATGTGCTCCATTATAAGAGATACACTAATTATTTCTCTAGATACATTTTTGAACCGTTATGGTGTGTATTTGTATTATATAAATCTTGCATCTGTCAACCCTATGCCATATACTACAAGTCTACAACGACCTGCCGAGTTGAATGGTTTGTTACTTCCTAATTAATTAGACCCAATCATATTATAGCTTGTCTTCTTAATTCATGCACATGATCCGAATTTTATTTCTCAAGTATTTAAATAACATTTTCGGATTCCTAATTAATTAGGATTTAGTTGCTTGTCTATTATTAACTTAAAATTTTAGTATTCTTTATCGACACGTTCAATAAAATTGGATGGAGATATATTTATGGTAGAGATGGACACGGGTCGGGTATCCCCGTTTTTTAGAAAACCCGATCTCGGTCACATCACCACGGGTTTTACGAAAAAATTATCTCATTCTTCACTTCATGAGATCCGGGTACCCCTAACCCGAGTTCAATAAGATTCTCAATCTCATACTCGAGGGTATCCGGATCTCATAAATAAATAATTCAAATATTTTATAATTTATAAAATTCAATAAAAATAACTTAAATAACATTTAAAACTCAATTTTATAAATTATAAATTCGATTTCATAAATTATAAAGATTGAGAATATAGAAAATAATAAAATAAAATAAAAAATTTTAGTAAATAATAAAACAACTTAGATAAATGTTATAAATAAATAGATATTTTTAATTTTTAATAAATATATCGAGTATCCGGAGTATCCGTTATGGGTTAGTCGAAACCCGAATCCAGATCCGGGATCAAAAACTCGGTCTCGTTAAACCCGGTCTCATCATCGTTAATATTCGGGTATCCTTGATCTGGGTACTTATTAAACCGGGTAACCCAAACCTCTGGATTACGGGTTGAAACGTTCACCCCTAATTTATGGTCTTGGATGAACTGAATGACAAAAAATGGTCGAGATTCATTGATCCTATATACAGTAAACTCACCTTTCTTTGTAATAAAAAATTGGAACATTGAACATTGAATTGGTGTGCATATACTATATACAGGCTAGTATATTATTAATTCACGTAGGTAGTTTTATTTTTTTTTATAAATAAATGTGGGGTTGGGTGGATTATTCCTTCCAGCGGCGCGCCGCCGCGAACGACCTTTGGTGAGGCCTAAAGGGCAGAGGGTCCACATCAGACGATAGGATCCAGACATGTGACGCCACGTCATCACCCCCCTCAGAAGGGTTTATTCCCTCCTGATCTGCGGCATCTTCGCCTCCTTTTGTCAACTTTCTTTTGATTGCAATTTACCTTTCTTTATTTTATCCGTTGAGCTTTCTGGGATCTCAATTATATACATATATATACGCGGATATATATTAAAACACAACTGTGATATAATTTTCCGGTATTGTATATATGTTTAACTCGAATTAAATAATGGAAATATGGTTTGAAGAATTAGCGGTAGGTATAAATTATAATATGGTTGTTTGCGTGGAACGTGGACATAGTCGATTTAATAAAGAAATCCGCGTGCTTAATTACAACTTAAAAGCGTATTAATTTCGATTGAAATTCGGTCGCCAGCCATACCACGTGATCTCTAGCAATTTGTTGTTGTTGTTGTTGTTGTTGTGCTTATAGCGTATATGCATTATTTCCTACACATATAAAAATATGTAATCAGACAATAACTAGTGACAGAAAAAGTCTACTTTAGTATTTTGTTCTCAACTATTCACCCCCACGTATATATATATATATATATAACCTTTTTTTTAATATTTTTAAATCTCTTGTATTAGCTATCGCCTGACTTGAAAAATATAACATGCATATCATTTTCTTACAAAAAGAGAAAACTATAGACAACAAAACGCGATAGAAATACTTCTGTAGTGTAACATAATAAGTTTCATGGTTAATATATATATAGAGGGATAGAGAGAGAACAAAAGAATATCAATGGACCGAAACCTTCTTGTAAATTGATTGAATGGATTCTACATAATGACGGAAATAAAATTATGTTAAACTCTATCAATCCAATTTATATTTAACCGGTGAAATGAGAATATATATAAGGTCCGGTACTGGATGTAGTCTTTCTTCCGGATAAAATGTCTAATATTTATAATGCTTTGTATATTTTCTTCAATTTTGAGTCTCAAATTGGGATCCGCCTTCGAAATTAGTTTGGACTTCGAGGATATCCTTATAAAAAAAATGTTAACTCTATCGACTTTGAAAATGAGCCAATAAATTGCCTCTGGAAAAAAAAAATCATATTGTTAACGGATTTATGGAGCTAGGATTTGTATGAAAAGTGAAAGGAATCAATGGATTATATATATATATATATATATATATATATATATATTGTTAGGGTCCATAGAAAAAGATAATTATGGTAAACAAGTGAATGGTTTTGGGACAAATGGCAACCGGATGCCGACAATGGGTCAACGTTGTCGATCAAATAATAACAATGACGATTATTAAAAATTAAAGTTTGCAAACTAATAATTCCTGTTCCTTTTTTTTTTCATCATTGTCATCCTATAGCTTCAGTTGTATCGTAGTATGTACACGAATTCGATATTTAAAATATTTCTCAATAAGTAAAGATATTTCTATTCGCGAATATTTACTGCGCAAACATTTTTTGCCGCTTGAAAATCCCATAACTTGAATAATTTTGTTTTCGGTGGACCCGAGAGTTCCGCACACGTTGGTCGGTCCATAATGTACGATAAAATATGCTTGAAAGCATGCATATGATAATTAATGAAATGACATAAGGCGGTGATTGTTCAATATCCCTCGGTGTCTATGCATGTAATAATAAATAACAGCCTAACTCTACATGAGTTTAGGGATAAACAAATCAAGATATAAATGATGCGTTGATATCCTTTTATAAAGACAAAAGAAAACATTTTCGCTTTCATAAAATTTGGATTAACTAATTATCCTCCAAGCACCTTTTCTTTTTAGACATTTTTCTTTTTTGTGTTCTTTATTTCACGTGCGTTCGCCCCTAGAAAAGTTATCGGGGAGCCAGATTTAAAAATAAAAGATTGTTTATATTATTATTGTGAAGGCTATCTAGAAATTGGAGATAAGCTTGATTCTTCAAAGGGTATCACTCGAAACTAGGGGTGGCCGTTTCGGTTCGATTCTTCGAAACCGGACCGAACCGAAAAACGGTATATTTTCCGACTTGAAACCGTTCCCAATTCTCGAACGCTATTATTTTTAGACAACCGATTTTTTCTGGAACCGAACCGAACTTTAAAAAATCCTAAAAAATCGAATATTTTTAAAGAAAATCTATATTTTTTAATAAAATCCGGAACCGAACCGAACCGAACACAATATAAAAACCGATTAGTGCCTATTTTTGTAAAACCGAAAAAACCGAACCGATCCATTTCCGTTCCGAATCCGAACCGTTTCCCGAAACATCCACATCCACATCCACCCCTACTCGAAACACAACAACCGATATAATGCAGTTTTTAAATTTTTACGGGAAATCTAATTTAAAAATAAACGACGTAAAGGGCAAAAGAGTAAAACAAGGGAAACGTGATCCCAGGAGAATATGCTTTGAGCTTCAAAAGGGCGGCGTTATCTTCGGAGACTCGTGTGGATTGAGTCCGGCAGAAAAAATCTCATTATTTATGTTAATTAATCTCCTTGACTGAAATCCCAATAATACCCTTAGCGGATTATCATTACAAAGGATTCCACGGCGGCATGACTCCTTTGCCCCCCTCTACGCCGTCGTTTCACCCATTTTTTTTTAAAAGGATAAAACGTAAACGACGATCGTATCGTATGTATCTCTTCTGTTCCTCTCAATTTGCTTTTCTCCTTTTTTTTTTTCCCCACTCCTACCAAATCTGCATACAAACAAACTTACTCCCACGTAAAGAGAGAAGAGATCATCGCAAATCACAAACTTTCCCATCTTGTGTCTCGCGTTGGTCGGTAATGGTGATGGAGGACAGTGAAAGCTGCGGCAGCAGAGTTGCAAGCGAGGCCACGCCCTCGTCACAGGCGGCGCAGGACCGTCGGCATCGGCAGAAGGTTGAGGTTTACACTGAGGTTCTCCGCCGTCTCCGGGATTCTAACATCGATGAAGCCGATCGCCCTGGTTTCTACGATGAGCTCTGGGCTCATTTCAATCGCCTCCCCACTCGGTATATTTTTCAATACAATCAATCATGTACATTACTGCCCTCGCCAGTGTGTGTATGTATATTTTGCATCGGCTTCTTCTGCATGCATGTGATATGAGTGCTTCTGTTTTGGGCACTGGATTATGTTATTCTACCGCCAAAATTCATTAGTTGTGTTCAGTACTTTGTTTGCTTCTGAATTTTCCGGGTCTGTCTAAAAATCTCATGTTGTTTAGGTATGCCTTGGATGTGAATGTAGAGAGGGCAGAAGATGTGCTGATGCACCAGAGATTGCTGCATTTAGCTCATGATCCTGCAAACAGGCCCGCCATTGAAGTTCGTCTCGTTCAGGTGAGTTGTTCGGCGGATTTGCGGCTAAGCTATCCGCAATATCTATGTCGTGGAGGGTTTGTTCCAAACTTTTGCCATCTTTTATTTTTGTTGTTGTTGTGGGGTTTCTGTTACTTGATCTGCTTCCGTGGCCTGATCTCTCATGTTCCATGTTTTTATGTCGCCTTTTGTGAGCATTTGGTTGTGTATGGGCTCATGGGGTATTTGGTGACTTATCTTTGTGAAGGTTCAACCCTCTGGGATCTCAAATGACTCTACTCCTTTGGATTCTCTTGGTCATGAAGCCGATCAAAGTTCTCCTAGGCTCTCTACCAGAAAAAGGTTATCTCGTGAAACAAGTTAATCCTTGATTGTTTAAACTGTTGGTTCTATTTTTATCCTCCGATGTCAACTCATACTTTTTACAATGGTGATTCTCGTTTTGGTCTTCACTTGCCAGCATACATCCACCGCCTGCATTTGGTTCATCGCCTAATCTTGAAGCCCTTGCACTTGCAGCAAGTAGATCCGAAGATGATGAGGGTGAAAACTCTGTGCATGCCAATTCACTGTATTCACGGTATGTAGTTTCATGTGGAAGATGGGAAAACATTGCAACTGAAATATGTTCTTTTCTTTTGCTTTTGGTGACTACTAGCGAGTTCCAAGTCTAGTAATATGAATACAGATCGAGCTGTATTTCATCCAGTTTACTCAATTGCAGGCCCTTGCATGAGATAACTTTTTCCACGGAAGACAAGCCTAAACTCCTCTGCCAGGTATGTGCTGAGTGCCTGTTTCTTCAAAGAGCTGAAAGTAAGCAAATAGTGTCATGAACTTCTTCAAAGGTCATATGGTGATAACCATTTGTAAATGCAAACTGTCTGTGTTGATGGTGCAGTTGACTGCCTTGCTTGCTGAGCTCAGGCTGAACATTCAAGAAGCACACGCTTTTTCTACAACCGATGGCTTCTCACTTGATGTCTTTGTTGTTGATGGTTGGCCATACGAGGTACTTCTTGCTTTTTCTTTTACATCCTGATAATGTTTAGTTACCCTTTTCTATAGTCTACGGGACCGATTTTTTTTTTCTTTTGCATGGAACTGTTTTTTTTATATCTTATAGACCTGGAGGGTGTGTCAATCTTTTTTTTTAAGGCATCCTGCTCTGTGTAGATTTCTTTTCTTAATTTCAATTCTGTACGTGTGTAATTGTGTTGTACATACTTTTAAATTTTCAGGAAATAGATAGACTTAGAATAGCATTGGAGAAAGAAGCAGCAAAGATTGAGGTATTTGTTGTTCTTTGCAGAAATAAGGCCACTTTGGGCATAAGTTTCTTTTTATTTCCTCTGGTATCCCAACCTCTACATTCTTCCTTAAGAGGTTGGATATGGTTACAAGTTACAACTTACAACTTGCTCTCAGGCAGAAATGTTCTACAAATCCTATCTTTGATAGGGTGATGACTGGTGATAATTTTCATGTAATTCTCTCAGAAGCACTTGAAATCCGAACAAAATAAGTTTTTAATCCATCTTTATGCAATATTACATTTTCCCTGTTACCATATACTTCATAGCATCTTGATCTTGTTTGCAAGTTACTAATAAATCATTCACGGCGTTCGTTTGCAGAATCAAACTTGGCCTATGCAGCAATCGCTTGCTCCTGAAAAAGAAAACGATCAAACAGGTGCCAGAAAGAGCAACAATCATGTCGCAATACCCAATGATGGAACTGATGTTTGGGAAATCAACTTAAAACATTTGAAGTTTGAGAAGAAAATTGCATCCGGTTCATATGGAGACCTGTAAGTTAGCTCCATCCATAAAAAATGTTGTTATCTTTAAGATGTTCAAAAGTCATTTTTCTCTTTTCTTTAATTCAGGTACAAAGGTACTTATTGTAGTCAGGAAGTTGCCATCAAGGTCCTCAAGCCTGAGCGTCTAGATTCCGAGTTAGAGAAAGAGTTTGCCCAGGAAGTCTATATTATGAGGTTTGTGGTTCTGATCTGTTCTGTTGTAAACTTATGTGCTAACACTCACTTGTATCCCAGATGCTTGAGATACCATCCATAAATTTTCCCTTTCTAGGAAAGTTCGGCACAAGAATGTTGTACAGTTCATTGGTGCATGCACTAAGCCTCCACATTTGTGTATTGTTACAGGTATGATGCTATAACTACGTTGAATATTGGTAATAATTATGGACAGAATTAAGCTCGACAGCTTGTTTTGTTTTTCACTTGCTGCCGATTTGTGTTTTCATCTATAACAGAATTCATGCGTGGTGGAAGTGTCTACGACTACCTGCATAAACAAAAAGGCGTCTTTAAGCTTCCAGCTTTGCTTAAAGTAGCAATTGATGTTTCCAAAGGAATGAATTATCTCCATCAAAATAACATAATCCACAGAGATTTGAAGGCTGCCAATCTTCTAATGGATGAAAACGAGGTAATATTCTCAACTTAGGGTTATCGTCTTATCCTCTCGGTGGATACCGTGTACACGAACTCACGAAGTGGGTTTGTGGTGTACATGCATGAACCTTCTTTAGGGCTAAAGATGCATTGCTATTCTTATGCACTTTCCTGCACGAATGTTAAGCAGTAATACCGACTGTTCTCTGCAAAAAATGCATTCTGCATCCTCGAACTTGTTACTTTTTGATAGTTTTATTCTCCACAAGTAGCAGACTGGCGCATGGATTCATATTGATTTGTTTGTTTTATTGTTACAGGTGGTCAAGGTTGCAGACTTTGGGGTGGCCAGAGTGAAAGCTCAAACTGGAGTCATGACTGCTGAAACCGGAACATATCGGTGGATGGCTCCAGAGGTATGTTCTGGCACAGCCGTGCTCTTTTCCTACTGGCATAGTCAAGTCATTGGTATTTGTGTCAGTTGACCGCTACTCGTGGTTTGCTTGCGGGTTAATCTTCTTTTTACCTTTCCTCGGAAACCCTGTGTCTCTGTTTGGCTTACGTATACTATGCCAAGATTCACTACCTCAGTCAAAACAGTTGTTCATCATTGGTTTAAAGTAGACGACTCCTCCAATTCATTTTTGTTCTATCTTATATCTTCAAGAATCACTTTTTTTAATGCAAAAAATATCTTGCAACGAAGGTTATAGAGCACAAACCATATGATCACAAGGCGGACGTTTTCAGCTTTGGTATTGTGCTATGGGAGTTGTTGACCAGCAAGGTGCTTCAGTCTCTTCTCCTATTTCGCCATCCTTTGATTTCACTTCCTACTTTTAAATGGGCTAACGCACATTTTCGATTGACATCTTTCCAGCTTCCATACGAGTTCTTGACACCATTGCAGGCAGCTGTAGGAGTCGTCCAAAAGGTAATTGCTTTCAATCTGATCTAACCTTGAATGCATTCCCCTTTGGTTGACCTAGGGAATGCATTTCTTCTGTTGTTTGCACATCCTGTCAAAACCATATGTAGGTTTGCATATTAGAAAAAACGCATGAAAAGACACATTAGATGAAGATATAAACAAATGCTCTGGGAAAGCTAAAGTAGAACCATGTTAGGTTTAGGAAATGAACTGCAATGGCGCAGATGAATATCGGTTTGAGAGAAAGGTCCTCTACGAGCACATGGCGGTAATGAATGGGAGATGATACGAGTAAGTGTGGTTTAATATGATATAGGGGTTAAGGCCTACGATCCCGAAGAGCACGCAGCCAAAAATAGCGGAGCTACTTGAGAGATGCTGGCAGCAGGATCCACAACTGAGGCCTGACTTCTCAGAGGTCATAGATATCCTACTTCACATTTCCAAGGACGTAAGTCAGTTGCCGCTTCTGTGTATGCCGCAAACTGTCTGTCAGGTCTAAACTGATCTCTTTTGGTCAGGTTGGGGAGGAGAGCGAGGAGAAGCGGAGATCTTCCGGAGGAGGTGGTATCTTCTCTGCACTTAGGAGAAGCAGTTTCCATTTGAAATCAAACTCACACAGCTGAATGTAAAACAAAATTCTTCAAAGCTTTTTTTTTTAAAAAAAAACAAAATTGTATAGTACTTTGGTCGGAGCATTATCCAAAATAACCTCCTCTCGCTGAAACTATTTTTGCATATAGCTTTATTCATATATGATCATCTGACCAAAATAACTTTATGATCATATTGATTATAATATTAAATTTATAGTTATCACATCAAAATTACCATCAAAATTACCATGGTTACATTTAGATATCACACTAATCACTTATCACACTAATCACTTGGTAAAATTATTAAAAATTTAATATTGTGACCAATGTGATCATCATATGACCATATAATTATTTTGATCACATGGGGTATATGAGAATTAATTTTACCAAAAAGAGGTTATTTTAGATATTTTGCTAGTTTGGCCCCCTCTCCTTTCATTTTCTATTTAATTGTGTACTATTTGGCATCCCTCCTTTTGGTCTATGTTGTTTTAAAATGATTACAAATTTTGAAAAATTTGATTCAAATTCGAAATGAAAGGTGGCTGGCCGAATTACAAACTGTTGTTGTTAGTGTTTTTGCCCTTCTATGAAATATGTGTCGAGTCGTGACTAGCGGTGTAAAATGGACGATCGGACCGGATTCAGGCCAGATTTAGTTCGGGTTTAGATTTTTTTGAATCGGGTCGATCCGTCCATTTATTTTTCGGACCTATGATCGGTGGCCCAGAGTCCGACCCTATAGAGCTTTGGATGGGTTCGGACTGAGTTTCAGATTTTTTTTATTTAATAAAATAAATATTAGTGTGTAATAATAATAATAACAATAATGTTGTGTTATTTAACAATTTTTTTTAAAAAATCAGTAATAATAAATTTTAGTCCATAATTAAAAACTTTTAAATCTAAAAAATAATTATGTAAATTTTAAAATATATAAATTATTTAATATTTAAAATATATATAATATATGAAAAAGATATTTGGTACAATAAAAAGTATAGAAAAATATTAAGATAAAATTTAAAAATCAAAGTTAACCTCATAATATAATATATATATATATAACTCAAACCAAAATCTAATCAAACAGTTACATATAAATAAAAATTTTTATATAATATTGTGTGATATAAAATATCAAGTGAAAGTAGAAATCTAATCATCTAATATTTTTCGGGTTAAATGGGTGGATCAGACGAATTTCGGGTCGGATTCAATTTGGACCTTAATTTTTTCGGATCGAGTCGATCCATCTATTTATTTATTAGGCCAATATTATTAAACCCGAAACCTTAAATTTTCGGGCGGATGACCGTTCGGGTTTTATTGACCCCCCTAGTCGTGACAATGTAGAATTGCAACATGGGCCTATAGGCCCATTTTATTTTACCAGAGTTGTTTAGATACTTTCCAAAATGGGCTAACTCGATCTGAGAGAGACCGCGGCGGTGCGGAGTTGAAAAGACTGGAGGAGCCACTCTTGCAATCCGAAGCGACAAACCAAAGCACTGGTGGAATCCTCTTCCTGGGTAAGGGCTAAGGGATAACCATATTTAGGGCAAACTCGGCTCCTGAACTATCTCCTTAAGGAGTTCAAATCTGAGGTACCTCTTCCCTTAACAGTCGCTTCTCTTCAAGGTTTTGGGATTCCTGCATTTTCGATTTCTCAGTTTCTTCTTCTCCTCTCAGTATTTACAGATTGCTTTGGTTTCTTCATCTCTGAGTATATACAAATTGATTTGGCTTCTCTGTATATAGACTGATTCCTTTTCCTCGCTTCTTCTTCTCTGTATCTTTTTTACTTCATCTGATTTTGATTTCTGGCGTTGTAAGTCTGGTGAAATGGGTTCATCTGAATTCTTTTGATGTTTGATGTTTATGAACATGTTCAACTTGTGAATTGAGTATTTTATTTTTTATGAAATTTAACAAAGCATGTTCAATCATGCTCTCGAGTGAGTTTATATGTGTTTTTAGTGTGTGATATTCAGGTTTGTGAATTGTGATGTGTCTTCAGCATTTCTTGTGAGGAATGTGTGAACGGTTTCCTTATGGAATTTTGTGATTTGGCAAAAACTGGTTCGGGTTCGGGGTCCCGTGGGTACCCTCCTCTATTGCAAACCAGCTTCTCCTTAGCATTGTTTTGCCTTCGAATCGACTGTCTCGCCACTATTAAAGTAGTCTCTGTTGATTTATCCTTCCTTTAGCTGCCTCGAAATTTCAGTTCGTGTTTGTGGTGATGAGAAATCGAAGACAGTGGCAATAATGAGTGACTTTCTGCGATCAGGTTCTGAAATTCTACTTTTTCCAGAGTTCTCTCTCCACTTTGTCTCCTCAACTTCCATGTCCTAATCTTTAACTCAACACACCAAATTCCACAAGACGGCCTCTGATTTTCATATCGGAGCGGGATGACGGTTTTCCCGGCAAATGTCTCAGGTAACTTTTTTATTCTTCTGTTTGCTCCTTGATCTTTTTTTTAGATATCTTCTGGCAAAACCTTTTTTTTTATGTAATCTTCTGGCAAAACTTGAGATGTCGTTTCCAGGTTTAATCCAGTTGGGTCATCCTAAACTTCCACACTTTCGGAATCAAAGAGCTTATTCTCACGGGATCAGAACCAGTATCTTAAACCCCTTCACGGTAATTGTATTTCTTTTTCGTGTTAATGGATTGGGGGTTATGGCAACCCCGTTTGATTCTTACTCTTGTTTAGATTCTCGGAGGGAGTGTCTTTTATAACCAGACAAAGTATGTTGGTTGCAAATCTACGGTATCTGTAACTGCTACCCATCAACCTTTGAGCTCTCATGACCGATTACCCCCAGAGCCCTTCTGGTTGAGCCTTCTTAAGGATTTCATCTGGTATGAATTCTTACCCGATCAGATTTCATCTGGCTGAAGGGTTCTTGTGATCTGAGTCACTGTTTTGTTGTTTATCAGGAGTCTGAGAACTCTGTTCTCGTTTCTGGCTGAGCAACCAGGCCAGCTTAAACACGTAGAGTGGCCGAGTTTCAAAAGCACGGTATGTAATCAAATGTCTCTCGTATAGAGAGAATATGCCGCGTTTGTTTTGATGACTTTGGGGGTTGGTGCTGCAGCTCAAGACCGCCACACTGAGCCTTGTACTTGTAGCCGTCTTCATTGTGGCACTTTCATCTGTGGACTCCGCTCTTTGTTACGTATTATCTCTGGTCTTGAGGAAAGCCACGTGAGCCGAGTGAATGAAGCATTTTGCAATCTCAAGGCATTCAAATAATCGGATTGGAAAACATTCGCTAGCTTCTGAAGGGATCAGAATCGTCGAAACGTTATCAGGATGTCTCAAGGCGCACTTGGCATTCCCCTTTTTTCATTTCTTGTGCCATGCAAGGATAATGCTCGTGTAGGAAAAAACCCACATAATAGTTATAATAAAAAGCTCTCTGCTTTTCTATTACACAAGTAGCTTGCACATAAACTTCCAAGTAAGCGACAGTTATTTGGTTCCTTATTGAAATGTGGTCGCTTCTTATTCTTGTTACACTTTTGTTTTATTATTTGTCATGTCAGCCTTCAGTACAGCGTTTGGATTGATGGCAAAATGGAGCTTGTAGTTGACCCTCTTCTTATTCTAGAAAGGTAAGGATGCTCGTTTCTCTTTGAACGGAAGAAGCATGTGTTGTAAGACTACGGAAGAAGCATGTGTTGGCAAAATGGAGCTTAGTATTTGTTAATTTGCGGCGTGGTGAAATTGAATCATCGAATTTATAAACCTTGGAAACTAACCCTTCTCCTTGACCAAAAGCCAACATCCTTGATGATGGTTGTAGGGGACTTATATTGGGGCAGAATCTTGATCATGTGATTCCTCTCCTGCTTTGTTTGGCATTTTGCATTCTTTAATTATCATCCAATTATATTGGTATGAGGGATTAGAATCTTGGAGCATCAAGAAGAACACAGTTAGTGGAAGACGGCAGCAACAGATAGGGATGTGGTGTCAGAAGCAGGATACGAATATGCGTTTAGTGTTTAACAAAAAAAAGAATATGCGTTTAGTGCTTTGTGTGGACTTTTATAAAAAATACCCCTACAATGCTACAAAGATTTCAAGGTATACCTATGCAAAAATAAAATAAAAAGTTAGTTCAAAACATACCTTTATAATTATGTTATTCCCATAATACCCATTGGCGTGAGTTTCAATGACGGAAACAGAAGAGAGAGAAAACAGTAGGATACGAATATGCGTTTAGTGTTTAACAAAAAAAAGAATATGCGTTTAGTGCTTTGTGTGGACTTTTATAAAAAATACCCCTACAATGCTACAAAGATTTCAAGGTATACCTATGCAAAAATAAAATAAAAAGTTAGTTCAAAACATACCTTTATAATTATGTTATTCCCATAATACCCATTGGCGTGAGTTTCAATGACAGAAACAGAAGAGAGAGAAAACAGTTTTCGGTTCCCTAGAAAAAAAATTAAATATTTTAAAATTTTTAAAACTCCCTCCACCACAAAATTAAATTTTTCGCGTGAATTTTGAAATTTTTCGGTGTGACCAGTGTGACCAAGTGACCAGTGTAACCAGTGTGACTAGTGTGACCAGTGTGACTAGTGTGACCAGTGTGACCAAAACTAAATTTTGAACGGTGTGACCAGTGTGACTAAAACTAAATTTTGAACGGTGTGACCGGTGTGACCAGTGTGACCAAAACTAAATTTTGAACGGTGTGACCAGTGTCATAAATAAATAAAAAACCACACGATTCACTCTAAAAATCATAAAACGCAAACACAAAACACAAAGTTTATGCATCAAACCAATCTCTTGTATTAATGAGTTTACCTTCGGTTCTTGTCATTTGTTCTGTCTTAGACCGACTCAAGAAGAAGATATGAGGTCGTCGGTGAAGATATGCTCAACGAAATAATCATTTTTCGTTTGTTTTTCTATGTATAAAAATGAAATGAGAAGAAAGAAAATGGAAGAGTTGAGAGAAAGATAAGAGTAGAGAGAGAAAATTAAGAAAGAAATGAAGAGTTGTCAAAGAATGAAAACAAGAGAGGTGAATTCAAAATGAAGAAAGGAGTATCACGTTACTTTTGTGAGAGGGTTAATTATGTCTTTTGTTCCTTTTATTTTTTTTTTTCAAAATTTTAGGGTTTTGAAGGGTATACCATGAAGTCTTTGTAGTAAAGTAAGGGTACTTTTGCTATTTTGCCGCTTTGTGTAGATTTATGGTACCTATTGGCCAATAATCAGGTTCATCCGGCAGAATAGCAGAAATACTCCTAGTTTGCTACAATGACTTCACGCCATACCCTTCGAAACCCTAGAATTTCAAAAAAAAAAAACGAGTAAAAGACATAAAAGGCCTTATAAAAAACGATACGTGGCGCAATAGGAAGGGAAATATGGTTAATCTTCCCTAATCGACACTGTAACTTAGTCTTTTTCGAGACAAATTTCGAAACTGCTTCTCTCTCTCTCCCGTTCGAAGAAATCCGGCGAAATCCTATCATTTCTCTCTCGATTCTCAGAAATCAAAACAATGGCTTCAAAATCGAACAGAAATGAAAGCAAGACTTCAACTCCCGCTCGCAAATCGGGACGTGGCGGAAGGAAAAACCAGGAACTGAAGGTAAGTTTGAGTTTGATGCGATGCAAGAAATCTGGGTTTTTTGGTTTGAGTTTATGATTTTTAAGTTAATCGTATGATTTATGGTGGAAAATGGGTTGTTATACTCACCGAAACGGATTTATGGTTTACCTGGTCACACTGGTCACGTTGGTCACACTGACTGATTGAGGGTTGATTTCTTCTTTGTAGGTTCCGTTCATATATGATTTTTCAGATATTCAATTCGCACCGAAGATTGAAAGCAAATGTTATTTGAGTCAGACGATAAAAAATCTGAAAGAGGTATTATCTTCCGAGGAGTGGAGGTACTTCAACGAGGATTCACAGTTTCGTCACATATTCCATTTGAAATGTGACGAAAACATGAAGATGTTGCCTGTGTCAGTACTCCTACACCGAACGCTGAAGTTAGAGGAGGAAAAAGGGCAGTTATGGTTTGTTTTAAATGGCGTTCCTATCAGGTATTCTATAACCGAGCACGCCATTATATCAGGATTGAAGTGCAACCAGTATCCGGAAGATTGGGAAGGGCGCAGGAAAAGCGATTTTCGGATAAAGACCTTCGGACCTGGGAAGGTCACGAGGAAAGCAGTTATGGAAAAGTTGCAAAAGAGTAAACACAGTCGGATTGACAGAAAGAGATTGGCGACACTGATGTTGCTATCCGGGGTACTCGACCCCGGGAACAGAAACGATGACTCTATCAACCATGATCTGGTTGATATGGTCGATGAACTTGAGTTATGCGAAGAATTTCCGTGGGGCAGGTACTCATTCGACAAATTGGTAGAACAGTTGCGGAAGATTCTACAAAGTCCTACACCGAAGGGGAGATGGCGCTTGACTGGATTTGTTGTCCCTCTCATGGTGCTTCCTTTCGAATGCATCGAAAGTCTTTGCGCAAACAATTGGTGTACGACTGTTGAAGACGTCGATCCAAGCTGTCCCATGATGTGCAAGAAGCATATCTCTAACCCCAAATGGACTTTTGGGACGGTGATGAAACAGATTGGGAATGAAGCAAAGGTACGTCACGTTGGTCACACTGGTCACGTTGGTCACGTTGGTCACACTGGTCACACTGGTCACGTTGGTCACGTTGGTCACACTGGTCACATTGGTCACACTGGTCATGTTGGTCACACTGGTCACAGATTTATGAATGCGTTACATTCCGTTATATGATTGGCATGTTTGTTATATTTCGGTATCCTTGAATCATTATAGAATGATTCTAAATTCCCTGGTCAGTTATCATTGTGGGAACAATGATGAATTAAGACTAGCATGAGGTGTGATTGATGCATTGGATGCATATCACAATCATGGGTACTCGTTGTGAACGAGTGACTGGTTGACCCGCATGAGATTGTCACATGGACAGAGTCATGACTTGAATCTCATAAAGCGGTTCGTTCTTGGATCCTCAGACCTGAGATGTCTAGAGTATATGATATGAGGAGTGGCGTGTCTTGACTGCGTCAAACGTCGTCTTTAACCGGATGATCATAACGGCGTTGATCAGATACGTTCACGAATCATATGGAGATAATAGACATGCAATATGGGACTTATCACCTCCTCAATAGGAGAGATATCGCTGGGCCCTCTCGTGGAAGTCGGACTATGAAAATGCGTGGCCACGCTATAGATGAAGTTGCATCTATTTTATTAGTCGATTTGCCAAGACGAGAAAGCGGTTGAACTTGAAGGGTGGCTCAAACCATGCCCTTGTTCAACACATGATATCGTGAGATAAAGGATCAGAACTCGAGCTGTTATTGCCTTGGTTAGATCACCTCTAACTCAATTCAACGTGGGTGGTCATAGGGTCTTGCTAGGGGCTAACCATGACTTGTAGATCGGGAATGGTTCTCGAGGCTGCTGCCACTGCGAATGGGCCTACAGGGTCACACACCATTAGGGATGGACTTATATGTGAAGTTTCGGAAAGGAAGACTTAGATTTGGTCGGAAAAAACCGTTTGAGGATCAAATCAGAGTGTCGGGACGTTTTCAGCCTTCTGACTCGGACCGAGTCAGTACTTGACTCGGACCGAGTCAGTTCCGTGCGAGTCGAAGCCCAGAAAGTGTTTTGGGCTTGGCTGATGTTTTGACTCGGTCGAGTCAAAGTTTTGACGAGTCAAAGTTTTGACTCGGACAGAGTCAATACTCAATGGGTCGAGTCAAGAGTTGACAATGGGCTTGGGCTGATTCGTTCTGACTCGACCGAGTCAGAGTTCTGACTCGGACCGAGTCAATACTCGGAAAAAGTCACTTTCCAAAAGGGATTAGGGTTCCTATCTTATAAGAAGGGTATTGGACGCCGTCCTCAACCTAAGACAGACGAAAAGAACCCTAAAACAGAGCAAAAACTCAGAAGAAATCGTTTCTTTCATAGTTCTAGCTCCCGGGATTAGATCCCACTTCATATACTTCACAGATCCTAGCAGATCAGTTCCAAAAGTGTTTGGAATCCTTCCCGTCGGTGTGGATACGTGTAGAGGAGCTGTACTTTCAGCTCTTGGTGATTAAAACAGGCCCTGGATCGATTGCTACTTTCAGATCTTCAGGAAAGAGGTAAGTATTCGATTCCTACGGTGATATACACGATCTGTCGGGGTTTTACGGATGATTTTGGTTGCGTGTGACGTTTGACTAGGTTTAGATTATCCTTCCGCTGCATGAAACCTAGTAAACCAAACCCTAGATCGATACATGCTAGGAATCCGTAGCCCCAAAACCCAACAGTGGTATCAGAGCCTGGTTCTCTGTATATCGTCGTGCTTGTCGCATGCCTATATGAATTTTAATGGTTAAAATTGCATGATAGGCTTGATCTATGCATATTTAATGATGTTATGATTGTTATTTGATGCATGGATGAGTTTGGGGGTCGAAGACGGCTTGATGGTGCATCGAAGCGGGG